TATTTGCTGCAAAAGTGGTTTCTTCATCAGTAATTTTTGACTCTATGTTGTACATTGGATGTTGAAAAGCAAAGTTTAATAGTTTCAAAATATTTTTTGGATTCATAGTAATCCTTATTAACAGCTAAAAACTTACTCAACATTTTTTAAATAAATTAAAACAAGATAAGCTTCAATTGTCTATACGATTAGTAAATTAAAAAAACAATAGGTGTAAATAATTTCGTAAACGCTTACATATTATCACAAAATTAATGAATAGAATACAAATTTAAAAAAAAAATTTTAATATTGCCGTATATATTACATCGTTTAAAAGAAAAAAAATTATAGGGCACACTAAAGCAAAATATTATTTTAGACACTGTTAGTTAATGTAATGCGTCACTTTCATATTACTTACATGGAATAATGTTACATATTACTCCGACAACAAAATCTTAAGTTGTTCAAGAACGCTAATTATAATACTGATTTCTCTGCTGACAAAATTATAAAATATAAATTTCATAATAACTGGCAAATCATTAAATAATCTTTCTTTATGATTCAACGGTTACAAGGAAATCAAAAATATTTAGCCTTATATGACAACTCTTACAAACGAACTCAATATGTGAACAAAAATCTATTACGTCCTCGTCGTTGTCCTGGATAACACTAACAATAGCTTGAAAAAGATGGGTTTTGAGGATTGCATATAGCTTTGAGAGATAAAGTAATTATAAGATGATGGTTCAAGCAGATTAAGCTATTTAGAGCCAACGAACTCATTTTCTAATACAAAAATAATTGATTAAACTTACTCCACCTAGAGTTAAGTGGGTTAGCCTGCTTAGGGGTTCATAGAGATGGTTTATTACGGTTGTGAGGGTTTGTTGAGGTAAAGTATATCAGGGTTAAGATGGATTCGCCTATTTATGGTTAAGATCGGAAATTATTTCAAAAAACAGTCGATTGAACTCGCTCTACCCAGGGTTAGGTGGGTTAGCCTGCTTAGTGGTTCGTAGGGGTGGTTTATAAGGGGTTGTAAAGGCTTATGGGGATGAGGTATGTCAATGTTACGGTGGGTTAACCTCTCCATGGTTGAGATCTTAAGTTTTTTATAGAAAGCAGTCAATTAAACTCGCTCTACCCAGGGTTAGGTGAGTAAGCCCGCTTAGGGATTGTTGGAGGTGGTTTATAGGGGTTGTGAGGGTTTGTGGGGATGTGGTGTATCAAGGTTAAGGTGGATTAACCTGTCTGGAGTTAAAATCCTAAGTTTTTTATTGAAACCAGTTGATTGAACTGGCTCTACCCAGGGTAAGGTGGGTTATCCCGCATAGGGGTTGGTAGGGGTGGTTTCTACCCCTAAAAAGTGGATTCCGCAAAAATAAAAAAATACGGGTTCATTATATTTTAGTGTTCTAACGATGTGCCAAATTTGGTTGAAATCGGTGAGTGGCACTTGGGTAGTGTTACTTGTTAGTCATAAGATGATATGTTCCCGCTTCTGAGGTAAAATATTTTTTAAATTTTTTATAATAATAATGCGATTTCTAACATTAATCATTTTTATTTATTTATTTTTTTATAGAATCAGAAAAAACAATACCTTGAATGGAAAAGGTAAAATGAAAAACCTATGAAACTTGCAGATCAAAGTGAAGTTCTTATTTTTATTCACATATATTTTCTTTTATTATTAACGTGATTGAATAATTTAAATGAATCTGTAATGAAAAAATACTATTTTCAGATTTGTGATGCGCAACCGGACGTGGTGGACCATTTCGATATTTACTGTTCAAACAACAAGATCGAGTCCTTGTCATGTAGGACTAAAAAGATTAATTTGGAAATGAAGAAGAAGAAGAAGAAGAATTCATATAAGTATGTGAAATGTAAAAACTCATCAAAAAAACATGTACACGTAACTATACTAAAAGCAAATGGACAGAAACATAAGACTGATGACAATCCAATAACCAAAAAGAATTGCCAAAAATAATAAGTGATGTTAAAACGCATCTTATATGTAATAAATTTACAAATAAAACTGAATCGAGAACAACAGACAAAATCATCGACGAAAATAATAAATCAAACGCGAAAACCAAACAACGGAAACTTCTTCCTCATTCCACAACAAGAGTCTCTTAAAAAAATTGTAAAACGATCTTTAACAGACAAGATTACGGGCAATTACAAATCGAACGCGACGACTATTCGTAAATCGCGACCTAAAATTAGACAGCGAAAACATACTTCTCGTTTAAAATCGATTATCAGTACCACGAGTTCTGATAAATCATCGCCTCTGAAAAAAAATAAATCTCCACCAAAAACTGCTCCAAAAAAAATTGGAATAAGCTCTTCCAATTTCTTAAGTTTCTCGAGTTCCTCAAATTCAAGTTCCTCTAATTCTTGTAGTTTTTCAAGCAGATTCCCTTCCGAACAATCTCCACAAATACAAAACTTGAATTATGAACATACTCCACCAGACACTACCACCTCCCAATCAAAACCAGTTCAACCATATCCTCAAAAACGATCGAGTTCATGTTCATCTATAAATAATAAGCGACTGAAAATGATTGAACTGAATTAGTTTTTACAATTTAAATTATGAAAATTTTTTTATGTACGACTATTGTAATTTTTTAATTTTATAATAAAAAGAATATATTAAAATTTTATATTAATATTTTTTTATTAGAAAGTATTAATTTCATTATAAAATTAAACAAAATATACATCATACACTTGACTTATTCTCTTATGGCAAATAGGACAAGAGCTTAATCTGAATTGCACACGTGGAGCATGTTGCAATATGTGCACAGAGTAGAAAAATTTTTTCTACCTAAGTTCCTTAGCGAAGCATATTTTACAAATTTGTTCATCGCTAGCTCTGTCGATATTTGCTTGTGGCGATGATGTTGTGATTAAATCTGTATTTATTGTCTTACTAGTAGTCTTAGCGTACTACGCTCATACAACTCTGCAATTGGTCGGTACTCGAGTTCGTATGTACGTACCACATACATCAACACTTGGTGGACTTGGTAGAGGTATGGTGCTCAGATCAACTCCGATCGGAATATTACCACAAGGCATGTTTCCAATGAATCGACAGCCGCCACCTCATCGCTGGTGGTACGTCTTAAGATAGTCACCCTCGGTAGGTAAACTAAAGAGGCCACAGATCAAGGGGGCACAGATCAAGGAGGGCCTCAGATCAAAGAGGGCCTCAGATCAGTGATCTGAAGTGCATGATCTATCAGATCAGCTTTCTTAGATCATGCGCGAGAGCCCCCGCCCCTCCCCCCGTCCGCCAATGTAAAATGCGTTTTAAATATTAAAATTTATTTATGTTTAATTAAATTTCATTTATTTATGCAATTTATTTACATGTAAACAGTGTAATGCAGATTTAGCACAGCGAAAAAAATGAGCAGACACCACGGGGAATTGATCTTGCGTCCTACGGATTGATAGACCGTATCCTCTAGCCACTGAGCCACGGCTGCTTTTAGCTCTTGATAGCTCTTATTGCGTATATTAACCTACACAACCAAAAAGCGATTAGCACGCCCCCCCCCCCCACGCTCCGAGTTCATCCGTATATGTGCACGTATTTTAAGATATCATTTATATATATATGCTTTAATGCATATATATTGTATACACAATTAATCACAATGTATGCATGCATGCATCCATATATGTACTGATTATTAATTAAAGAAATAGTGGAGAAGAGTGAGGGGGGTAATAGCAATATATACTTACATTATATATATCGTTTTTTCTTAAATAAAATTTTTTTATTGATAAACAATAAATCTTATTCTACAAGTCAATTATTTAGAAATCCTTCAATTATTTCATCGCTCTCTTCCCAATCCATGCAGCAACTATTTAAGTAAAAATTTTCATAAATTTGACATTTTGATGTGCGCACGTCGTTACGTATTTACCGTTATGATTAGGACAAATAGTATCTGATTTCATATTTTCAAAAGGGGACTAGCCCAAATCATTCAAGTCGAAAACTTTGAGGCCATATCGTTCTAACCACTATTTTTGCAGATCTCCGGAAACAACAATTTTCATAGCATCTTTGAATGTGTCTGTGATGATGAATTTATGCTCTTCGTGCTTGAAATCACCAAAGTCCCATTATAATCCATAGTAGTAAAATTCCATCCAAAGATTATAACGCTTATATTTTTCAGTTAGTCTTCAAACGGATTATTCAAACGGAGATTTGAATAATCCTACGAGTGGTTCTTCGTCGCAGTTAAGCGGAAATATCACTAGCTTCTTTAAGGCATATGTTTTGCCAGGCATCATAAAACTTTGTACATCCACTATGTACTCCATTTTAACTGCTACTGAGCTGCTTGAGGGAAGAGTCATCTCTTTAATACAACGATCTCCACTCCGTAAATAAGTTTCTTCACATCCCCACTTATTGGATTGTATTGAACGATGCGATCATATAAAATGAGAAAATACGCTGTTGTTCCTTCGGGAATATCTTCCCTTGTTTCAAACTCCAAGCGTATATGCACTGCAGAGTTCTTCAATGTCTTTTTTTAGAGCAATCAATGCCAATGAATGGTACTTGTTTTATGAAGGTAGATTCTTTTAGCATTGGTTCAGAGTCTTTACCGTAGTATGTCTTCTGGAAATTGGCATACTGATAATATCGTATATGTTGTATAACATTGCAAACTGATGCTTATTTATGTCAATATTAAGATTACTATACAGATAACACTGAGAGTTGAGTAAAAGTTTTACGTTACTAATGTTGCAACGATCAAATACGCTTGCATTAACTGTTGAAATATTTTTTCGTTTAGTTTGAAAAGCTAAGATAACATAACGTGGTTTTCCAGTTAATTTGCAGTTTTGACTGTCTATACATAACTTGTGTTCATAACTGGCATTAGATACTCATATAATTCCTAACTACAAAAACTCATTGAAATACTTTTTTCTCTTTTCAGAAAATCAAGTAGACGAATTTTTTGGGTATTCGAAACAGTAACGTACAGCATAAGCCATTCGATGTCTCAATTCTTTCGCTTTTCGATGACGATTGACATTCGGAATTCGCCGTGTTGTCGCTTTTACTTTCAATCGACGACTGATAGTTGGTTTGTACTCGTATAGTTTACTGCTTATATAGCCACCACTACTGTTTAAATTGTAAACGATTCCTATCACGTATTTTTCAGGTGTAATCTAATTGTTATCACTTTACCTCTGAAGTTTATTAAATTTCAGTCTTGGTCAACGATGCGTAATTGTAAATTATCTAAACACTTCACGGTAACTGAGAGATAAATCACATTTGAAGGAACTTCGATAATTTTATATCCAGGTGGTACTGCAGGAAAAAATTCATGAATATTGTAAACTTTACTCCCATTCATATATGCACCTGAGGTAATGTTACACTTGAATCTCAGAGCATTTACTTTGAGAATTTTCACTAGAATATCCGAACGGTGAGAGTTGTTTTTTTTCTAGTTTACACCGTGCAAATCCCAATACTCGATCAATGGGACCTTGCGGACGGAAATCGATATCTTCCGAACTTTCAATTACACAACGTAAAGTATTATTGTTCGTTTAGAGAATCACTGTTATTTGAGTCTTTATGGTTTTATGAAGAAATTTATCAATAATCAATTTTCATAACTACCCACAGGTAAGATTATAGGTGGTTCATCGCCAACGTAAAATTTATTGTTATTTATATCTATATTGGATATAGAGTTTAATGTCAAAAATTCTACTAAACTCAAAACGTATCTTTTATTTGCTGATAGTTCAATGGATGAAAAATATTGCACTTCCAGTAGAGAAGAATTACATTAAAAGTGAATGATTCTTTCATGACTGTCTTAATACAACTGATAACTTTTTACGATGTATCCACTTATATAGCCTCGCACAAAACTGCAAACAAAAATGACCGCAATTGTAGTTACCGAAATCTTGGAACCATTTTAGATTGTATTTGATCTCTTCTACGTTGAGATAAATCATTAGATCAAATAGATTATTAGTCTAACATATCCAAAACTTTCAAAATATGTGACGTTATCTCCGATTTTCCGATAAACCGCCTAGTTTGTGCCTATTCCGTTAACGTCATCAAGATTAAATATAGCTGATTCTTAATAATGTGATCCAGATTTTGGTAAGTCATTTCTCATAAACACTTTTCGAAAATTTGGTATACTTAAAATTTCGGAATACTTCATTAAAAGTCGATGTCTGTGAGAGCTCTGTAGGCTGAATTAATTTCAAATTTCAAAATTTTTTTTTAAAGCTAATCCCAAGTAAGGTTTGAAATGTAGTCCATAGCCTGATTTATATCCCTTTGCCTAATTCAATGACCTCCATCGTTTTGTTATCTTTTGGTTTCTTCTAATTGTCATTTTAAAGACTGCACGATTTACAGCTAATGCGATTACTGCAGCTTCACTAGCTATAGCAACAGTTGTGCTTAGACCAGCAAAAAGAGGAATGAGAAAGGGTAAAGCCCCACCCATCTTCTTGGAAATTGGCAAAATTCGTGGAGTTTTGATGTTAGTTTTTCCACCAACCTTTTTAACGACTGTATGAGCTCTTTTTAGAGCAGTGCCTATGATTGTTCGAGCACATTTATTTTTAGGCCATTTAAAATTAGCAGATTTGATTATGATTTTCAAGTCTATTAACTTTTGATATTTTTTTTGCGACCTTTTGACTTGAGTTTTTTTGTCTGTTTTTATTCTTGAGTCCCATACCGAATTTAGATTTTAATTTCATGGTATTAGTCATAGTTTAAACAGCTGCTTTTGTAAAAATGATAGAATTTTTATCGAACACTCGTTTTCAAGCATATTTTCTTATATCATGACCTGTCAGTGCTCGATTAGGTAAAGTAATTTCGAACTTTTTTTTTTAAACCTTTTCCACTTGAATATGGTTTCAGATGAAAACTATAATCTTTACGATGTGGTTTCAAATAAAGTCTTTACCAATAGCAATAGCTTCCATAGTTTTATTGTGTCTATGAGCTTCTTTCAATTAATTTTGAGCGGCCTTAGGACTGTTAACGGCTTTTGCTATTGAAGCAGTTCTTCCAGCTAGAGTTCCAGTGGCGCTCAAAGCGGCTTGTAATGGAATTAAAAAAGGAAGACTTCCACCCACTTTACTAGGAATTGGTAGAATACGAGGCATATTTTTTTTTTTTCTTCCTCCAGCCTTCTTCACAGCTTTTTTAGCGTCTTTTATAGCAGAACGAATGACGAAGAGTGATTTATTACTAGGTACAACATTTCTCGAGGCAGCGTTAATAATTTTTTTCATTGCAATTGATAGATTTTTACTTTTTACATGTGTTTTTCGTCGCTGTCGTTATTGTTGTTGACGATTTTTCATCCCTTGCCTCGTTTCTTTCCTTGTTTTAAAATTTTAACACCCTACCAAATTTACTTTTAACTTTCATTATGTTGGCTATAGCAAACACAGCAACTTTCTCACCAAAACTACTATCTTTCGCTTGCACTCTATCCCAGGCCTGTTTAGCTAGAATTTTGTCGGCTTCGTTTCTCGCCTCAATGTTTTCTCGATTCTGAGAATAAGGAATATCGTGATCTTTACAAGCAGTGTCTAGCGAATTTTTTCCAGGATCACCACGAGCAAGTCGTTTTTTCAATTTAGTTTCCGCTCTGCAATACTGATAACCAGGCAAATGAGCTTCGAATGGTAAGTTATTAATGATTTTATTCACTAAGCCAGCACCACCAGTCTTTCTTTTGTGATAAATGGTTATACCTCATTAGAAGACAAAGTCTTAATGAAACTAAAAATAAATAAACAGTCTTTCTACAGTTAGTAGTCGCATTCATCGTTAGATCGGTGGCTAGAAAACATCATGGACTTCAAAGAGCAACGACTTAAGTTGCATGTCATAAATTTTGGTAGTGTGGTTGAGACGGAAAAACGAGAAAAAAGATATAGCGAACTGCTACCTGACCGTATACGAGTAGTTTTCTGTGGTCCTAGTAACTGTGGAAAAACTAACTGCTAGTTAACACTAATCACACATCACAATGGATTTAGATTCGAAAACGTTTGTGTTTATTCAAAGTCCCTCAATCAACAAAAGTATAAGTTTTTAAAATATTTATTGGAACCGATTGATGGTATATAGTATCATGCATTCAGCGAGCATGAGACAGTTGTTTCACCAGATAAAGCTCATCCAAATTCCATCATGATTTTTGACGATATAGCCACTGAAAAGCAGGACAACGTGAGAGCATTCTTGTGCATGGGAAGACATAAAAAGTAGATAGTTTCTATCTCTGTCAATCATACGCTCACATACCGAAGCATCTCATTCGAGATAATGTAAATTTACTAGTTTTGTTTCGACAAGATGACGTGAATATTTGTGATGAGAACAAGCGATGCGCTTGTTCTCGTCGAAATTTTCCCAACTTCCCCTCACTCTCGACAAGGCACGGTGACCAGCGTTAGGCGCATTTAAGAATGCGTCTAATGCATGGTTTCTGTTGCAGCTGACGGAGATTACCGAGCGGGGCCGAGCAGGCCCGAAGCGGCTGCACTGGCGACAGAAAGACTATAGACATGTTAGAGAGAGAGAGAGAGAAATAGTCGGGGGCGTGCATGCCCTATGCAATATTAGGCAGGCGCGCGTTTAGAACCAATTAACGGGTTGGTTGCGCACCGCCTAATAAGTAGGTCAAGTGGGGAGAGAAAAGATCGGCGAAGAAGCTGTAGGTCGCGAGAAAGAAACAAGCGACACAGACGCTAGTAAGTCGAGGAGAGACTCAGAAGGTTTTCGGAGTCGACCAGAGCAAGACGGTGGACGGCCAGCGGCGAAGAAGTTCAGCCGAGGACAGAGGGCCGAGAGGAAGCCGACAGAAGTTGCCCATCAACGACCTGCAACGCCGTGCGCAGGGCGCAGGCAGGACTCCCGCTCCAGAACCAAGGTCTAGTTTTCAATTTAATCTCTCTCTCTTTCTCTCTATCTCTCTCTCTTCATTAACGGCACTGTACGCGAATTTTAACATTAGGTGGGTAGCAAGGCGTGCACACGCCGGCTACCTGCCTTAATGACGGTAGGGCAGTAAATCGCACAAAGAGAAATCGTTCAGGCGATCCCTCGCCGAACGACTTTCTTTTTTAGCCAACTAGATTACGTCGGTTCGACGTCAAGGCGGTCATCTGCCGGGCGACGCGCGTTGTGTTTTCTAGAGATTTGTAAGCGCGATTAGATGGTTAATTTGTTCTTTCTTTGTAATAGTTGTTAAGGACGTCGTTAGTCGATTAAAGAGTGTGTAATGCGGTTTGTTAATGTGCGGTATTTCCGAAGTTTAAGTGTAATTTCACTTTGGCTTAATGAAATTATATTTGTTTAAATGGGAATGTTGTTTGTGTGTATAAAGTTATTAACCTTTTATTGATTTGCCTCTCCCCCCCTTCCGCCTCAATTGCTATGAGCGAGTGCGCCTCACTTACCTACCTCTAAATAATAGAATCGAACGAGCCTTCGTTACATGGCATCACTTGTGGGCCTAGCAATTGGGGTAATGGGATCGGGAATGGTAGATTAATAAATGGTTAATCGCGAATTTTCCGTTGTATACTAAAGGCAAAACGCGCGCACAAAGAAAAGAACCTCTAGCACCGTGTTTACTTTTCTATGAGTGTTTTGCCTCGGATTACCTGTGACCTTTTCTCAGTGGGGGAGTCGACTGGCCGCGATTGCGTCATATGGTTGTTTTGACATTGGACCCAAACTTAAACAGTAGAACTAGGCATCTGGCGAGTTTTCTTTGTGAGGCTTATGCAAGGCGATCGCTCGCCGGCTGAAAGCCTGCAAGAAAATTCGAAAATAAGTTGAACAGCATAACACGTGAAAAACACATGCTGCCTCGATATTTTGAATTTTAATTTCCCACGGAAAATGTCGCTGGCTTGTAGAGACAGAATTATAATGCGTAGAATATTACGCGACGCGCACGCGAAAAGTCTTAAACGCGAGATTGACTCAACAGAACCGGCCGTACTGCTTGAGTTAATGAGCTACCGCGGACTTATTCTGCGCGGTGATTTAGAAGAGCTGCGAGACCGATACTTGTGCTTTTTATTAAGGAAAAAGCGACCAGATTTACAGCCACCGGTATATCCAAGTAACTTTGCGCTTGATCGGATCCCGAAGTTGGTGCATGACGAATCGCGTGATGCGGCAGCGGACAGCGTGCGACGTACTAATTTCGGCAACGAGTCCGCAACACCTGCTGCGCCCTTGGCGGCTGAATTGCCGCGCGAACAAGAGCAGGCAATGCAAGAAACAAGCATCGCCGCTCCGCGCCGGCAAACCCAGTCGCCGGACAGAGGCACAGATCCGGCTGTCAATAGAGATGTGCTACCTTCGGCAGTCTAGCCACCGTTGACAGCTCGGTTGCCGTCGGATGGCGCGAACTTACGCGCGCACGAGAAGGGCCGCTAAAATCAGGGCGAAAGCAGCACCAGTGCGCTAAGCCAAATCTGGGGGGCCCTTGCGTCAGTACCGCGCTGGATTTATAAGCGCGAAGTGAGACAGAGTATCACGGATGGAGTTTTTAGGGTAGAGAGTGAGGCAGTGCACAGTGGAGCAACTCAGGCCGAGCAGCAGGCTCCCTTGATGCCTCATGCCAAGCCGCTCAGCGATCGCGAGGCGCTAAACGCGCCAGCGGTTGCGACTGAGCCACTGACTCACGCGAGTGTGCGAAATAATTTAGCTGGTAGTGCGTCCATCTACGCCGATTCAGATAGATCGGCGAGTACGAAGTACCACGCGCCTAGAGTAAATTCTTGGGTAGAAGACTTGGAGCGCGGAGTACAGACAACTACGGCAAATGAAACGCGGATGCCAGCCTCGTTAGGCAAAGGTAGCGTAGCTAGTGTGAAGCGGTCTAAGAGTAGACAAGCTAAAAAGATTTACTTTCGGGGTTAGCGATACAAGCACGTGCCCGTCGGATACCGACAGTTGTCATACGCGGACAGAATGATCGTTTAAAAAAAGGTAGAGAAGCCAAGCAGAGAGAGCGGCCCTCCGCGAATAAAGTTTATCAATGGTATCCCTGCGAACGGGGTAAGCGCACTCAATGCATGGTCTCTCCGCTTTTCGGGTAATGA